ATAGGGTCTATGTCCCCCAGGCCAGGGTACTGCTGGAACGTACCCTGGGTACGGTCCGGTATACCGGAACGTACCCTGGTCACTATTTGATATGGTTAGGGTTAGAATTAGGGTTCGGGTTAGGGAGTAGGCGTAGGCGACTCCCTAGACTCGTTAGTGGAGTAGGCGAGGTACGGTCCGGCATATAATATAGTACCAGGGTGCGTCCCGGTATACCGGACCGTACTCAGGGTACGTTCCGGCAGTACCCCGGGGGACATAGACCCTCTCAGCCCCAAGGAGCTAAATATAACTGTTATATTTAGCTCCTTGCTCAGCCCTAGTGGTGGTGGTGAATGTTGTCTCAATGTCTGTCGACTGTTGACAATCCGACCAGCAGTGCAAAGCTATTAACTGGATTAATCTTGACTTTTTCTTCTATTACGCACAGTTCCTTGGAGTCCTTTCCGTCTTCGATATATAGTCCCTTGGACTTTGAAGACTATTACTTACGAGGTTACGAGGAGTTCTCAGTTCATGAAACGACATTCCCAGAGAGTGAGGCCATTTGCATTGTCGTGCGCGCCATCTAACGAGCACTTAAATAAACAATTCGGACGGTACTTTAGTGGAGACGTCATAAGCCTATGTCATAATATAACCCATCGCAATTATCTAATAGTGATAAGTCTAATAGTGAACATAATCATAGCAATCTACTACATATAGACAAAGCCAATATACATACAGCGGTGTACCACGTATAAGGAATAATCTTCAAAGTCCAATGTACTATACCAAACACGGGGAGATTCAAAGTTAGTCAAAGTCGATAGATCAACACAGCGGGTTGCAGTAGAAAAGTTTGCAGTATCAGGTAATTAAGTAATCAAGGAAGAAGGAAGACAATTCTGATATGGAATGGCAGTAGCGAAAAATCCTCATGTTTATATTATTTTATTTTTTTTAAATGTATTATTAAATTGATATAGGGGCAGACAGAGAGAAGAGACAGAGAGAAGAAGAGAAAGGGGGCAGAGATCAAGAGAGAGGGGCAGAGATAGAGAGAGAGAGGAAGAGAGGGAGGGCAGAGACATGAAGAGAGAGAGGAATTAAGAGAGAGGGAGACAGAGAGAGGAAGAGAGGGGGTAGAGAGA